TATGGCGAGTACTGCATGAAACATTCCGCAATTTGAAAAAAACCGGTAAGCACTCACAGACCAACATTGAGTGGGGCTGCAATACTGTTTAGCATGCAGTCCAGTTTCAATTATCTTCAGTCACGCTAGGATGCCGACTCTGTGATGAGCTTCTTTTTGGCCGCTGTGAAAAAGTCGATTCTGTAAAAATGACTACTTAAATAGTATGCATTTTTATCATTGATTTTGACTGCTTCTATAAATTCGAATATATTTTATGGATAGCATGCACGAAAAAATCCCCTCTTGTACTTATGTGACAGCAAATTACGCCTTCTTAAAATTTTATTCTTAGCCTTACTATACCTTGCGCCCTCTCTGCTAAAAGTATTCGTTTAAGGAGAGACGCATGGCCAAATTTAGTTATTTTTCCTATCTTTCTTTTGCTTTGTTTAAGTGACGCCCGAACTCCGGTCGACAACTGTGCCTTTAGTTTTCTAACAGAACTCCTGGCCAACCACGTTATCCTGCCGGCTCTCGATTCAGTCGCGAATCCTGTAAGTTCCCATTTTATAGTACAAGTAATTGTCTTCCTTGACCTAACCACATTGACATCTTTTCACGATCCTGCTTCGGCACAGGGTACGGCATAACGTTTGTGTACCACTGGCAGTTGCTGACCATTATTGCGCTCTGGGGTAGGGTAGTAATAGGTTGCCTTTGCGACGCCTTCTGCATCATCGTCTTCCCATGTTAGTCGAAGACAAGCCGAGGTGATTGTGGACACAGCCTCCGACTTTCCAGTGGGGCTCAATTCATTCGTTTCTGCTCCAAGGCAGGGCGGGGTGGGTGAGTCCCGTAACTGATCTTCATCCGCACATACACGACAATCAGTTTTGACGATGTCCGCCGCGTGCTTCGGCGTGTGGATTAGTCTTAAGTGATAGTAGACTTGCGCAGCATCTACCGCATGCTCTCTTCCCTCACCTCTGTATGATCGGTGTCAAGACAGCGTCAGGAAGACTGGAGGCGGGATCGGGCCCAGGTGGCTGGCGCGGCCGAAGCCACCCCTGTGCGTGCCGACATGC